TTAAAATAGAAAAGGTGGTTGTTCGTAAAATGGTACCCGATCTATTCGGTTGAAAAGGTTTGTTTTCTTCGATTGTTGGTGTCGAGATGGCAGATAAGCCGACAAAATGTGGACAATTGGAAGTCAGCGTGTCCTACGGCCGACGTTTAATAAAACTAACTACGGAGTATAAATTGTGTCTAAAAAAAAGATGTGAATTGCTTGCAATATGTCGACAGTCGAAGCCTCCACCCATTATTAAACAAAATGTTGACTCTATCCACCGTCAGGGTGGCATGGCAGTGGGAAGAAAATCATACTTTCTCCCTCTTAAAAGATTCTTCCTATTTATTATTCAAAGAGTTAAATTTTAATCACTTTCCTAGTTACTCTTATTTAATAAAACAATATGTTACAAAGTTAGGAGGATCAACGCTGCGAAACAGCGTTGAAGATTTTATAAAACAAAGAACGTGAATTACAACTTGATAGTGTAACGAGTTGCAAATATGCTTTTAGGTCAAAGTTATTTCAGAGTATACCAAACTAATTTAAACTTATAAGACGTTAATCAAGAACTAGCATCGAATCTCTGCCTCAACCATACCAACGAGACTCTTTTATAGAGTCAAAATTCTTAGTGATCAGACATGAACATTCACGTAAGGATGGGAACGTTCGTGCATCAGGGAAAGAACCGAACTTTGCTAAAAGACGCAAGTGTTCACGCGAGTTTTCTTTCGGTATTTGATTCGATTTTGACATTTATCCGTATGTTCGAAACTAATGTTTTCGACTTCGTTCACAAAAATGTGAAGATTTCCATAAAACAATAATGTCAATTAAATAAAATTCACCCCTGGCCAAGGGCTCTGCCCCTTGGACCCCTCTAGGAGCTTCTGCCCCTTAATTAGACCCCGCTACTAGGATCTGCTACCCCCTAACCCTGCTATTAATGTATAATATCGTTGAACGAGTGTGCACTCCGCACCTCCTAACTCATTAGACAACGTCTATTCAAAATCTTATTCGATCTAAGTAAATCTAATCACAAAAAAATAGCCGATGACACTAAAATCAGTAACATAATATAGTCTTGTCACATCTTATTTTGTGGAACTTTTAATTTAGTTTTTTAAACTATAAACTTTACTCCCTCCGTCCCTTAAAGTTGTTCCCTTATTGACTTTTGGGGAAATTAAGGGAGGAATATTTTGGTATTGACTTTCCAAAAATACCCTTGATGTGATGGGTAAAAGTAAGATGTGATGGATAGATCGATTATTAGTAAAAAAAGTATGATGTGATAGATAGGGTATGAAAAAGTAAGGGTAAAAGTAGTTTTTTAATACTCTCTCCGTCTCTAAATAAACTTCCCTTTTTGACTTTTTAAGGATTTAAAGGAGGGATATTTTTGTGTTAACTTTCCAAAAATACTTTTGATGTGATGTGTAAAAGTAAGATGTGATATGTAGATTATTAGTAAAAAGGTATGATGTGATAGGTAGGGTATGAAAAAGTAAGTGGTAAAAGAGGGTTTTTAAGGGAAAAGAGAAGTTTATTTGGGAACAAAGAAAAAATGAAAGAAAGAGTTTATTTGGGGACGGAGGGAGTCGATAAGAGAAGGAATTAGTGGGACAAGAAAAAAAAGAAAAGGGAAGAAGTTTAAAGGACGGAGGGAGTATTTTTTAATTTTATGCACCTACAATCAAATAAATTGAATTGAAAATATAATCGGTCAAAACTCGTAAATAGAAATGGAAAAATTATTTTAAGACGGAGGGAATAGTTGTTAGAATATAAAAAAAATCCTAAGCCATAACTACAAGGTAGATTTTTTTGGTTGAGTTGGTTTTTCGATATGATATCGAAGCCTTGATAATTAGGAGGTGTTAGGTCTGAAGCTTTGCGACACCTGATTTTCTTAAAAAAATTTAAGTTTCAAGTGTAAGACTCGAATTGAAAAGACTACGCATGCAAGTGAGGGGGCGTGTAAAAATTAAAAAAAAACTTTTTCTAGATCGCAACCACAAATTTGAACTTATAGTTTAGTTGATTATTTGACAATAGTGATCCAAAAAATTAATTGGAATAGATTAAGGTCAGGACGAGAAATGTTGGGCAAAAATTAGACTGATCTGATACCATAGGCATCGGATATCCACATTTGGTCTATTAAATGAGGCACAATATATTCTCTTCGTCCCGAAATCTTCTTCTTATTCTAGTTTACGAAATTTTACAAATTTTACTTTTAAATTATATATATAGAAATCCTTTACTATAATATTTGAGACTCATGTCTCTAAAATATTGACATGTGTCATCCTATATGGCATGCTTTAAATTCTCATTTAACATTTATGAAAAGAAGAATTTACTTAAATAGCACTAAAACATAATGTATTTTCCTAAATAGCACCACATGTATTTTTCATCCCAATGTAGCACTTTTAGTCATTATGCATTAGTCATTAATCAAGTAAATATTTGCCATTATTTGACATTATGGACATTATTAAGTGTTATTTAGGGAATAAAACAGTTTAAGTGCTATTTAGAAAAATGATTTAAGTTTTAGTGTTATTTATTGCAAATATTTCTTTATGGAAAAATATTTATGATAACCTTTTAAATTTGATGAGTTTAAAACAATGTATTTTGTATTAAAAAAATCATGGTTTTTTAAACTTATTGAAAATCATGTAAACGAAAAAAATGCAATAAGTTTCCTAAAAAATTAAATGAATTATTCATAAAAAAGAAACTAATCATGATTAACCCGGTTTTCTTTTTCATAAAAATAGCAATGATATTAAACATCTTTTGTGTAAAGTATAATTTTTCTAAAAAAATTATTAAACTATTCTTTTGTATGGAAATTTATTGAGCTAAAATATTGCTCATCTTATTTCACCTAATTAAAAATGAAAAGTTGATTCAAGAAAATTAGTTCGTGATGGGTCTTAATCACATATTTGATCATTCTTAATAAGAAAATTTTTATGGTTTAATGCTTTTCAAAACTTTTTAATACTTATAATTTCCTTAAAATTAAAATACTACAGAGAATATACAAAAATCTATCAAGATTTAAATTTTGTTATGAGATATTATATGTTGCATTTACATCACAGTACTGATAGTCTTTAATAGTTTATTTATGAAATAAGGAGTGTTTATAGCTGATAAAACTTTTGTTTTTAAATGAAATTAGTTACAAAAAGGGAATACAAATTTTTTAAAAAAATATTTTCATCGTCTTTATTAGTATGACTTTTTGGCCCTTTGTTTTCTTTTATTGGAACATCATTTTTCATAGAAAAAAACTACTGTATTATAGTAAAAAATTGAGAATTGAAAAAAAAATATAATCTTGATATTCATATATTTATAGTTTAGAGTACCGAAAGACACATAGAATAGATTATATTAAAATAGTTTTAGTGCTCCGTGTGGTTTGAAAAATAGGTATGAATAAATCATTTATTTTCAAAATTTATTAAAAAAATGTTTGTCATTTCAAAAAGCTTGCACACGCACCACATCAGTTTTTGTTATTTTTCCTTCTGTTTTGTGTTAAAAAGGGGAACATTAATGTCTATTTCCAATCTTCATGGGCATAGTGCGCTGCCTATTATCATTCTTCAACTTCTATTTTGAATTCTTCTTTATAATGTTTTAAAATTCAAATTAGTTTGTATTTGAAATGAAAAAATCAAAATAAAAAAATATAACATATACTTTCTCTATCTAAGGTTAAACGTTTCCATTTCTAAATTTTCAAAAGTAAACAAACTCTTTTTTGTACTTTCATAAATAAAAAGAAAATCGATTGAGAAAGAAAACAAAACAAAAATAGAAAAAGGGAATGAAAAAAACAAAAGGATGCAAAAGTTCTCTTATTAAGACAAATCAAACAAGATCACACATGACTATATTTAGGCTTACACATTGAGAGAATTTGATGAGTCAAAGTGCTTAGATGAACAGTTCCAAAAGTCAAATGTGGACAAATATAGGGGGACGGAGGGAGTATTATTTATTATTCAATAAGACTAGATATTATCAACTTTTATCAACAACATGTACTACCTTATTATAAAATGATGACAAAATTATAAAATTATATCTAAATTACACCTTCTTAGGGCGTACATTTTTTATTTTTGAAAAAATTGATGAGACGGAGGAACTATAATTTAAACTGAAATTTGCAGTAAATAATACTAAAATATACTTCCTCCGTCCCAAAAAGTTTACACATTTTGACTAAAGTGGAAATTAAGGGAGGGATAATTATGTGTTGACTTTCTAAAAATAACCTTGATTTGATGTGTAAAAGTAGGATGTGATATGTAGATTATAAGGAAAAAGGTATGATGTGATAGGTAGAGTTCAAAAAAGTAAGGGGTAAAAGTGATTTTTTAGAGAAATGGGTAGGAGATTGTGGGACGAAATTTTTTTGAAAGATGTAAATCTTTGTAGGACGGAGGGAGTATGTCATTTCACAATGTAATACTTACATTTTTTATTCCATAAATAGTACCTGGATAATGTCTAGTAGCGGAAACAATGTTCAGTGATGACAAACATTTAGTTTGAACTACTATTATATTTTAGTAGTATTCCCTAATTTAAAAACCTCAATCGATGGAGTGCATGAAATGAGAAATAGTTGCTAAACTTGCTGCGGGGCTCTCTAGTTGTTTAGCAAGAGAATCAACTTGTCCTCAACCGGTGTAGGAAACATGTCAAAACAGTGTTGATCACCCCCCTTCCAGCAAGAAAAAAAAAATTATGAATGACCGACTCTCTCTTTGGCGGCGCTCCTATGTTTGAAATCACATCTATCTATTCTGCACGTTCATAATTTCATACCATTTCTCGCCTTCATCGGCCGCCTATATATATATATATATAATACTCCTATATTATATACACCGTACCCCGTATAAAAGTATAAAAATCATATCCTATATTATTAACATATATATTTCCCTAGTTAGCTAGCATAGCCTGGTTCGCACATTTTTGTTTCGCCGATGTTTGCCGGGATAGACGCCGAGCAAGAGATGTCTGTGATGGTTTCGGCCTTGACTCAGGTGGTGGCCGGAAATGACGGCAGCTACCATCCCCCTCCCGCCGCCGACGGATCTTATTCCCAGCAGTCGTCGTGGGGTGTCGGAGTGAAACTGGAATCGCCGTCGTCCTCTATTCCCCCGGGATACTTAGGTATGTACGACGTATATATAGTACTGTACTCCCATCCATTAATTACCCCCGAAATCTTTCTCACTTTTCACCATTTTTATGCAATATTTTAGGTATTATTACCTTCATTCTTAAATATTTGTTCAATTTTAATTACTGTACAATCAAAATTAAGGATCTTTAACTACAGAATAGTACTCCCTCCGTTTGGAAAAACCCTTCCTATTTGATTTGGGGGCAAAAATAAGAAAGTGTTAAATTATACTCCCTCCGTCCCGGAAAATGGGAGTTTTGATTTTGAAGAGTGATTTAAGAAAGTGTATTTTGGTATTGAATTTTCAAAAATGTCCTTTGATGTGATGGATAAAAATATGATTTGATGGATAGATTATTAGTAAAAAGGTATGATGTAATAGGTAGGGTATGAAAAAGTAAGGGGTAAAGTGACTTTTTAATAGAAATTAGAAGTGTTTTTTGGGACGGATGAAAAAAGAAAGGAGAAAGGTTTTCAGGGACGGAGGGAGTAGTTGATTTCCAATTTTGCCCCTGATGTGATGGGTAAACAGTAAGATGTGATGGATAATTTATTAGAGAAAAAGTATGATGTGATAGGTAGGGTAGGAAAAAGTAAGGGTAAAAGTGTTTTTTAATAGAAAGGGGAAGTGTTTTGTTAGAAATGGAAAAAATGAAAGAGGAAGTGTTTTTGAGAACGGATGGAGTAATTAAATAAAACAGATATTAGATACTCATACTAAATAATTTTTTAGAATTATTTAATAATATATACTCAAAATATTATTTTATCTAACAAACAAACCATATAAATTTGATATGGAAATTATATTGTTCCTCCAAAGCCAAACTTGGAAAAAGATATGAAACATTGTGAATTGTAACTTCTCATTTCATTATTTTCTGCTTGAGTTAGAGTGTCTCTTAAAAAGAGTCTTTTTATTTGCGAGTATAATAATATCTGTATTAGGGGTGGGTTCGGTTTTTGCGGTTCGGTTTTCACCCAAAACCAAAGACAAAACGGAAGGTAAATTGGCAGTTCAGTTCGGTTCGGTTTTGCATAAAAAATATGTAAACCGTTGGTTATTCGGTTCGGTTTTATACGATTTTTATTTCGGTTTTTTTTTTGGTTTTTTCGGTTTATAAAAGTAGAAATTTATAAGCATTAAAAAATTGTAAAAACACTAACTCGACGGAGCAATAACAATATGTTGTGTTAGGTTTGGTTTTTTGGTTTGAGTGTTACACAAAAACAAAAATCAAACGGAAGGTTATTGTATCATTCAATTTTACATAAAAAAATATGTGTTGAGTACCCAACAAACATTTAGGAGATTCCAAATACTTCCAAAGACATCGTATGTAAAATTAATTACGAAGAATATGTGTTTTTTTGGTATAATATTTTCATTTTCATTATAACATCAAAGTATTTTTTATGTAAATATGTAAATTACTCGTATCCATATTTAATGTTAATATAATTCTATATTTGGATTAGCTATTGGTGTTTATATTCATAGATTTTTTAAAAGTTTATAATAGTATGGCTAAAATGTTTAATTAATAGTTAAGAAAATAATTTTAATCGACTAGTAATTTCTTTGCATTTATATTAGATACTAAAAAGATGTATAGTGTATATAAATATATTTTTTACACTTCATAGATTCTTTCAAGCCAAATAAGCCAAGCCAAGCCAAAAAGTTTCACTTTTGGTTTTGCCTTGGTTTGTGATTGCCAAGCCAAGGGTTTTTTTACATTCGGTTTCGGTTTCTTCGGTTCGGTTTTTTTTCTAGCTCGTTTCGATCGGTTTTGGTTCGGTTTGCGGTTTTCGGTTTTCCCAACCCAGCCCTAATCTGTATACACATACTTTCCCTAGACTCCACACGGATTACATAATATTACTCCCTCCGTTTCTTAAAACCCTTCCTCTTTCATTTTTTTGTTTTTCTTAAAACACTTCCTCTTTCTATTAAAAAACCAGTTTTACCCCTACTTTTTCATAACCTACCTATCACATCATACTTTTTCACTAACAACTAAACTATCACACCTTACTTTTACCCATCACATCAAGGACAAAATTGGAAAGTCAACTACAATTTAACACTTCCTTATTTTCCTCTAAAGTCAAAAGAGGAACTCTTTTGAGAAACAGAGGTAGTACCAAATACTCCTAATTTCTACTCCGTGCATCTCTGAAAACTTTTTTCCTTTTTTTCCTTTGTCCCAAAAAACTTTCTCATTTCTATTAAAAATACAATTCTACCCCTACTCATTCTTAACCTACTTATCACATCAATACATCATATATATTCATTAGTAATCTACCCATCAAATCCTACTTTTACTCATCACATCGAATGACATTTTTGAAAACTTAACATCAAAATACACTCTCCTTAAATCTCTTAAAAAACAAAACCTCTAGTTTTTTTATAGACGGAGAGAATAGAGAGTAATAAGTAGTTCTTCATAAGAGAAGGTTGGTAAAATTACGTTTGAATTAACATGCATACAAAACAAAAAAACATGCATACAATTCCTAATTAATTGTTGATCAATGCTCACTCAATTTGATTGGAAAAAAATCAAATTAAACGAGGACTAAGAAAAATATAAATATGAGTACAATATTTTTTATTATTATTATCATCATCATCATCATCATATCATCATCATCATCATCATCTTAGTATCATTATATTTTCCATAATTATCATTGTGATACTTTGACAATAAATAATTACTTTGTATACTTGTTTATAAAATACTCGGTAAATGTTATGAAAATTTGAAAAATCAATTTAATTAAAATTATATCTTGAAATAAAATCACTTGTATTAAATATGTATAACTCCGTACTATACAAAGTTTGTAAAATCTAATTTAAAAAATAAAATATAAATAACTTTTTATTATAGACCAAAATATCATCATCATCATCATCAATTGTTATTGTTTTTTTGTATAATGACTCATTTTGCAAATTTGTAATTACTAATATGACTTGAACCAGGAGGAGGGGCGGAATGCAGAATAATAAGATCAATGAGCACCGGCATGGGAGGGACAGGTGAAGCAGCTGCGGCAACCTCCTTCGTATACACCTCCGGTAGCAGCCCCGATTCAGGCGGCGACACTAGCGTTGTTAATATCAACGACGGTGAACATGACGGGACGACAAGACAGGGAGGAGGAAGAAGATACAGGGGAGTTAGACAGCGGCCATGGGGGAAATGGGCCGCTGAGATCAGAGACCCCTACAAAGCCGCCAGAGTGTGGCTCGGGACCTTCGACACCGCCGAGGCCGCCGCCCGAGCCTACGACGAGGCCGCCCTCACTTTCCGGGGAAGCAAAGCCAAACTCAACTTCCCGGAGAACGTCATCGGCCTCTCCCCCACCGCCACCCAACATTTCATCTTTTCCTCTTCTTCTTCTCCACCTAATCAGTCGTCTTCGTTCTCGAGCTTTTCCACGCCGCCGCCGGAATAGCGTGCCGCCGCCGCCGTCTTCAATCTTCTTCCGCATAAAACAATAATCTTTCCATATGGATTAGGAGCCGACCCACTCAACTATATTTGGCGGCCCCTAATGTTTCATCATTGTTGACTTTTCCTAATCAAATTGAACCAAAGTCTAATCATCAAATGGTTTTTTTTGACTTTCCATTAATTTGTGTGAAGTCAAATGGTGGCTTAGATTTAAGGAGGGAGTACAAAATATGTATGAGTAAATTTTTAAAATTATCTTTTCTATTAAAATGTTTTTGTTTCTTTTTTGTTAAAAAAAGATGTTTTTGTTTCAAATTAGTCTTCAATTAATAATTAAAGTTAAATTTTCAAATACCTAATACAAAGAGGGTATGAGTAAAATTTTAAAATAATTGCCTTCATTAAGATGTTTTCGTGAGATCAAATTAATTATCAATAAATAATAATTACGTGCACGATATATTTGAGATTTATTTTGTCTTTTGTTTTAACTCTTACATCAAAAACTCTATTGTATGCATGTCCTAAATATAATGTATTCACTATTCACAGAATCAAACTTCATTCACTTTCTTTCTCTATTTTTGTTAGTAATTTGATAAAATAAAATATTGTTGTCACTACTAATTTTGTAGATCTTTTAATGTAGTATTTTGATATGTAATTTTTATTTTTTAACTCTATACCATTTGTCATATAAAATAATTTAAAAATAACTTCAATCAAATATCATAAACCAAAGCAGAAAATAAGAAAGGGAATTAGTGAGTTAGATTTTAAATATGTAACTTTATTTTTTAATTATACTCCAATACTCAAATAAATTGCCTTGAAAATAACTTGATCCTACATCATAAATCAGAATAGAAAATTTAATTTGGGACGAAGAGAGTATTTTGATCGAATCCATTATAAATAAATTTCATAAACAATCCTTTATAGCATTTGGTTTTTCATATATAGACTCTAGTTCTAAGATTATACACTGATGATTTGAAACATTTGAAAATTATTCCATTACTAGACTTTTGTAAACTAACAAAATTTGGATTAAATGATCGATAATAGAATAATTTTCAAATATAAGAGACCAAGAACATACAGTAATATTTTGGAATTAAGTTGACTATATTTAAAAAAAATCCCCTTCTTAAAAAAAACCTTTATGGTATGTTTGGAAATATAGATTTGGATTTCAAATCTAGATTTGGCTCAAATTTCATGTTTGGGAAACTTTAAAATTTTGAATTTAAATTTGACTCAAATTCTTATCATTCATAACAAAGCTAAATTTAAAATCCATGCACCTCACATTGTCATTTGAAATTCAAGATTTAAAATTTTAGAATTAAAATGCATGAATTGAAATGAAATGCTAGTTGCCAAACACTACCTTATGAAATTTAATACTCCATTGTTTACCCGGGACAAACATATCTATTACCCGAAGTACATAACTCACGAACAACACCGTGGATACAAAAACGGGAGATTGCTAAAAAAGTGTCGTGTTGAAACAAATTAGAAAGGGAATTAGTGATTGTAGAAATCTGCAATACTTGCAACAGACAAATTTCAAGAAAAAAAAAAAGAGAGAAAAATAAATAAGAAAATGAAAACTTGTTCATCACAATCAAATTATAAATCACCAAAAAGACATACAAGAAATACAAACCCAAAAAAAAAAAAGAAAAGAAAAAAGGAGTGGGGCTCACAAGTCTGTCTTAGATTGATTGAGAAATTCAAGAAGCAAAGCAGGACTGCACCTGGGGATTTTCATTCCAGTCTCAGCCCCTTCCTCAAAACGGACTGCAAACGAAAATTGAGATAAATTGTCAATGCGTGATTTTGATCTGCTCATGTGTACGCATTATACTGAGTGAAAGAGAAAATTGAAGTAGAGGGAGATTTGTTTTTTTTTTTAATTTAAAAAAATGACCTTGGGGTGTGGGGGCGGGGCAGAGTCTCAAGCTTTTAGGGCAGCTTTATGGACCATCATTTCTTTGTGGATCTGGTGGCAACTCTTCTCGACGAGGTCAAGGAGTTTCTCCAAGTTCATTGCCCATGAATTCAAAATGCCATTGCTGTCCTGTGCTGGTCGGAAACAAACAATGCCCATTGGCCTGTCAATCTTAGCCACCAGTGCTTTGGATACAACCATTTCTGATAGGTGCTTCTCTGTTTCCTGATACACACATGAAGCAAACCCACGCCCAATGCATCGTCATGTTAGTGGGCTGCTTACTTAATCAAATTTCAGATGTCATTTCAGGTTACATCATTTCAGTCATTTCCCTAGTTGTCATATTTAATTTTTGGTTTTTAGTTGTCATATTTAATTAATCAAAAGTTCAGATGCCATTTCAGATTACTCTATTTTTTTTAAATTGTCTTATTCATAGTTGTTACGGCGACTAAGCAAGGCTGGGCGCTAGACCACCTTCCAGACGCCTAGGCGTCCGCCTAGGCGTCCCTTGGGCGAGTTGGATATGTCAATATTGATATTTTTTTAGGTATTAATGTATACACGCATAGTATGAAATAAATAAATAAAATGATTAAATAGTAGAATGATACTAAAAAAATAAGTACCAAAATGTTGATAATATATAAATAGAGAGTATAAAAAATTCAAAGAAGCAACTCATCAACTCAGATACCAAATGACATGAAGAAAAAAAACCTTTTGGTATAGAATAATACGAGTAATTAGAAATTACAATATTCAGAATAGTTCCCAGTACCCCCACTACTCCATCTCCATAAATGAATTAAGGGCAGATACAGTACCCACAAAGTATTACGGAGTATTTCTTTTAATTTTTAGAGTAGTTCCCAGTGTACAGTACCCCCACTACCCATTTATGTTTTCTAAAATAAATTTAGGCGCATAAACTACCCGACCCGACCCACAAAGTCTTGTTCCTTATACTATTTAATGGGTCGTAACCCGCGAGTAGCAGGCTTAATCTTTTAATTAAGCCGACGAGAAGCAAATTCACTTCCTATTTATAGTCCACCTTATAAGGTGCCTTATGCTATTTTTCTAAACATCCTTTTGCAAATAAGG